TGATGTGTTTAGATATGAAGCATGAGAAAACTGATGCGACTAATGCTTGTTGACTTAATTTTGTGACTATTACAGGTTTTCAGCTCGTAAAGTCTAATGGAAACCATGAGGTCTTATTAATTAGCAGCTTGTGAATACACTTGAGTTTGCAATCTAAAAGAGCAATAACAGGCTGAACAGAAAAGGCATTTCAGTCTTCCTGTGTTCCATGTGAAAGCAATTTGTTATTCTTTTTAATTTGTTGCAGAAAGTAATTAGAAATAATTTTAGAATATGAAATTCAAAAGTGGTCTCTTTGGAATGCTGTCAGCATTTCAGGATACAAACTCATGTCTAACCTTATTAATGATCTCATATATATGCTATAAAGTTTCTAAAATTCTGGACCTAGCAAAACATCATACAGTGGCTGAGTATGTTTATACGTCAGCTTTTTATATTCACTTACTTTGATATATTACTTCAGTGCTGTATCATTATACAGCTAACCATCTTATTTTACAGATGAAATAATTAACATATGAAAATATTCACCTACAAATGATTTTTTTATATTTACAATCCTTAAAAGAAGAGTTATATAAATTATAGGAATATTCATTAGTCTTTCTTTAATTTACTTCATTGGTAATGTTCAAAATAAGACAATATTTGTATATTATATGACAATGGATAACTGTTTTTATAATTAGGAAAGGATCCTTTTCTGATTAGGAAAAGATTCATTAATTCCCTATTTTAATGGGAAATGGATGTTAGCAGAAAATAAAATAGGTTCAAACATTTCCCTTTCTGTAGTCCTTATGATCCTCTTGAAATCCCTTTCTCAAAGTTTCACATGCCATAAGATATATAGGGTTTTATTTCTCTAATTTATAATGATTATTAAGATTAATTCTTCTGTGTCTGACTGTAGAAATGAAAAAAATGGACTTATGAATCTATCACACATTAATTTATAATCTTTTTTAATGAACAATATTAAGTTGAAGAAAACATCATTTTCTTCTCCTTAGTCCTTTAATTTAATGAATGTACCAAAATTTCTAATAAAATGTTTTTTTATTGATCGATTTTAGTTTTGAGGCCACTCTACTCAAAGGTATGAGTGGTTTCAGATCAAAACAGATCACATATTAAAAGAAAATCATGATTGCCTGGAAGAATAATACAACCTGCTATAAACCAACTAAAGGAGGCTCCATGAGAACTCTGGGATAACAATCAGCTTTTAGTAATTTCCTGATCATAATGGTGACAGCTGCATATGCTTAAACTAACAGGAATCAGGAATTTCATTAAGATTTTTGCTAATTAGTGTCCTAGATTTGGGGAAAGTATTTTCAACTTTCACAACTGGAGAATATTTATTGACTTCATATGTACAAAATATTTCTGAATAAGGTAATTGGAACAATTGGAGATTTTAAGAAAAGAATTTTGTATTAAAACACAATGTCCAGAATTTATTAACTTTTAATAAATGATATAGGTGATTCATACATTTTCTATATTTTATGAAACTGATTGTTCTAGGGGAAAAAAGCAACAGAAAATGCTTCTTATCTATATAAGTCAGCATCCATATTTTAAAGAATCATCTCTTTTCATTTTCTTTGAAAATACTTCATAGGTGATGCAGTACATCATAGAGCAGTGGTTCTTAACCTGTGGGTCGGGACCCCATTTGGGGTCGAACGACCATTTCACGGGAGTTTCCAAACAATGCAGTCCGCCATTTTTTCTCCCCTTTTCCTTAGCTGTGCTACTCCCTTTTATTCTATTGGCTTTTGAAAGCCAATAGAATAGACTCTCTTGAATAGAGTCTAATTCTATTGGCTTTCAAAGCCAATAGGAATTGTCCAGGCTGTCTCTGCCCTGCTGAGCCCGCCAAAAGTCCCATTCTGCAAACGGTGCTGCACCAGTTGAGTAGTCCTCGACTTATGACCGGTTGAGTAGTCCTTGACTTACGACCGGTTGGGGGTCGCAGCATTGAAAAGGTTGAGAACCACTGTCATAGAGAATATATTATTAAAAAGTACTCTTAGATTGGGAAGGTTAAAGCATAGGCGCATAGGTGATGGTGCCATGATAAAGTGACAATATTTGGAGGAAATACAGGAATTTAATCTCATTATATGACCGTTATAAAATCACAGACATTAGCCTAATCAATTCTTTGCAGCAAAGTTAACACTTGTCAGATATGACCCATTGGATAATTGGATACAGGAATTGAATTGTCACAATAATAGAAAAATTAGTATGTAGGGTATAAATTAAAAAAGATTAGCAGGGGATTGGACTAGATGACCTCCAAGGTCCCTTCCAACATTATTATTATTATTATTATTATTATTATTATTATTATTATTATTATTATTATAGATTTATACAATTCAGTAAAGAAAATATATTTCTTAAATTAACGGATTTTTAATACAGTTTGCATGAGAATATTTAAAATATTTTTAGATAATTATTTTATTTATTTATTTATTTATTAGGTTTGTGGTTCTTGACAAGATTAATCAAAGAAGATACTGATGCTCTGCTGCTTGTCAGATTTTGCACATTTTATCTAAAAATAAAAAGATTAATTTGATAATACAAAGTTATAATATAAAAGGTTCTTCCAGTAAGCAACATTATCTTCAACTGGATGATATTTAATTCCTTGTAGAAAAATAATGTTAAAAATAAATCCAACAAAGTCAGAAAAGCAATTAAATTTCTTTAGACCCAAATGATTCATAAATGTTTAATACAAGTGTTTGTCTTATACCAGACATAAATCTTCAGAAGAAAGCATTATTATAGATACAATTTGGATCACTAAAAGAAACCCTCTTTTCTCAAATGTGGTACAAAACATCATAAACTGCACAAGCCAAAAATATTAACTTACCGTAAATGCCGGCGTATAAGACGACTTCCGCGAGCGCTGAAATCGGCGCCAAAGACGGGGGGTCGTCTTATACGCCGAGTCGTCTTATACGCCAGAAATACTGGTAGTTTCCGGCATATAAGACGACGTTCTAGGAATGCGGCCCGGCTATAAAGACGGGGGTCGTCTTATACGCCGGGTCGCCTAATACAGCGGCATATACGGTACAACAAATTTAATAATATTGCCAGGCTGCAATATTCCAGGTGGCTGTTATATGGCAACCAATTATCTACTGTACAAAAGTATGTATAATCAAGGCCATGGTTTTTCCAGTTGCAATGTATGGCTGTGAAAGTTGGACCATAAGAAAGGCTGAGTGCCAAAGAATTGAGGCCTTTGAACTATGGTGCTGGAGAAGCTTCCTGCAAGTCCCTTGGACTGCAAGGCGATCAAACTGGTCAGTCCTAGAGATCAACCCTGACTGCTCTTTAGAAGGCCAGATCCTGAAGTTGAAACTCAAGTACTTTGGCCACCTAATGAGAAGGACTCACTGGAGAAGAGCCTAATGCTGGGAAAAATTGAGGGCAATAGAAGAAGGGGATAACAGAGGTGGCTGGATGGAGTCACTGAAACAGTAAGCATGAGCTTAAATGGACTCCAGAAGATGGTAGAGGATAGGAAGACCTGGAGGAACGTTATCCATGGGGTTGCGATGGGTCAGACACAACTTCGCAACTAACAACAAGCAGTCTGGATTTTGGCCCTGATATGGTAACCTTTCAAATAATAACTTATCAACTTCTTCTCTTTCCTGACTGTTCCTGTTCAATCAGTACCATAGACTCCTGTCTGGACATCACACACCCTGAAAGCGCTTTTCAAGCTTGGCAACTTATAAAATATGTGGACTTCAAGTCCCAGAATTCCAGAGAATTGAAATCCGCACATGTTGCCAGGTTGAAAGATCTCATTATTCATTCAAAACTGGGACTACGATTTCCTCAAAGGTTATACTCCTTTTTCTTCCACTGAATGTTTCGGAAAAAAGAGAAAGACTAAAAATAGGATTAGGAACACCGTCACCCAACCTTCATTACGCCAGCCCCACTGAACTATTTTGAACTGCAGTCACTCCCGCCTATAATTGCTTTCTCGCGTTTCGAAGTTGACACATCTCGCGATACTTTCTCAGTGCGATTGCGCCATATTGAAAAGTGAGAAATACAAGAGTATACAGTCGCGTTGAATTTCAAGTTTCTTCTCAATGGATTTGTTTTCCAAGAATACCTGTTACAACACTGCTCAGGAACTCTCGAGTACACGAAGAAATATAAATACTGGAACAAAGCAGTTTAAACTGCATCAAAATAAAAAAAGGAAACCTTCTTTTGCTTGCTTCCTCCCCTGCAGAGTTCGTACTTTGGGAGGTGGAGACTTCTGTTTCGTACAGCTCTGTGAAAGCGAAGATTGTGCTGGTTGGATTGCTGTTTAAATGCACAGGGACCTAGGCAAAGGTACATTTAAGCTTCACAGTGGGGTAGGATCACATGCTTTTAAAAGTATGAGTAATACTTTTAAGGAATAGATTTTTTTTCCCTGTCACCTAGAATGCTGGATATTCAAGATAAATGTCTGGAAATTCTAAAGAATTTTCTTGTATTCGTTTAACTTGCAAAACATGTTACTATTTGATGCTGCAGACTAACTCCCCTACCTATCCAAATTGCACTTGCCATTATTTAAAACACACACATACGCAAGAAATAAAATAGAATTTCGGCAGAAAATTGGCTTCTTTTCTCGACCCCCATTCGCTCCAAGAAGGGACAAAAAGCCTAAATGCGACCCTTCCTCTAGCACCGCTGAATTTCACCACTCCTTCCCCGCACCCAGGCAACCGCCGGCCGCGTTATCGGAAATGACGGCTGTGGGGAGTTCTTGGAGCTTTTCTTTTAACTCTCTGAAAAAGAGGCGGAGACACCCAGGTAGGCTCCTCCTCCAGAGCCTCAGCCGGGCGGCCGAGGCTGAATTCCTCTGCCCGGCGCGGCCCGGACCGGGCGGAGTCAGACTGGATCCCGGAAACGCTTCCCGACCGTGCCCAGCGCTCTGGCCCACCCCTTCCCTCCGCCCCCGCCGCTACCACCCGGAGACGCCCCCTCGCCGCACGCAGACGGGAAGGGGGGCCCGCCCCGCCCCCACGAAGCCAGGGGGGCTTGGCCGCCTCAGCTGCCCCCGCGGAAGGGGGCCGACTGGGTGGGAGTCGGGAGATGATTGTGCTGGAAGCGGCCCCCCCGCGAGCGGTGAGAGGGCGAAGGCCCCGGGGAGAGTTCTGCTTGGGTCTGTCTGCCTGTGCGGCGCGCGCGCGCACATAACGAGCGGGTTGTTGGCAGAGCTTGACAAGCGGAGGGGAAGGAAGGAGGGGGGGGCGCTGTGGCTGGCTGGGCGCCTGTTAAGTGGGAGGTGTCCAGGAGAGGTCAAAGCAGTGGGCTTTCGGGGGGAGGAGTTGTGGTAACAGGGCGGGATTATGTTCTGATCTGAGGGGGGGGGAGGTGCACACTCCTATGCACAAAAGCGTACGCACGCAAGAAAAGGCAGCTGTAGCACAAAAGTAACAACCCTGCATTAAAATCTTGCATGGAGAGGCGTATTAAGGGTGTTATTAACGAAAGAAAATGATCAACTTCATCTACGAGTTTTACAAATCATTCCAATGCTGTTTTTTCTAGAGAGGTACTGGTTGTATAAGAAGGATCAGCTTTAACCAAGCCAGATGATCGGTAGAGAATTACTCCTTGAGGCCTATAATTAAGGGTCAGTATTAAGAATCATATGATTTATCCCGCTTGCAGCCACCCTCACTTTAAAATGGTTTTCTTGGACTGGATCTTTTGGGATCTGGTTCCCAACCCATTACAGTATTTCAGTTGGATAAAAAGGCAAAACTTTAAGAAGACTGTGAGAACTGTACACTTCTTTCCATATCTATACACATTTCTAAACTTTTGGCCGGTTTTGGAGTTTGTGATTGGGTTGCTTAGATAGGGCACACCTATTATCCATGCATTTGTGTAATAGAGGTGTGATAATGCCACCACTAAAGCGTTGAAGCTGTTGTAAATATTTGCAAGTTTAATTGCTGCTGCTTCCTTCGAAATGTGCTCTCAGCATGGTCACTGCAGTATGATGCTGCTGCTTTGATTTGGCAGCTTTGGAAATAGAGATCACAAGTGAGAGCACGGTTTGCAGTATATTTATATTTTTGCTGAATTTTAAATAATTTCGATTATTTTATTCCTTTATTGTTTGCTAGAGCATGCCAATCCAGAGTAGATTATAAAAAAGTTTTTGTAATACCTTTATATTTGTGGTATTCTAGGCCTTATTCCTAATTATGTATTCTGATATAATTAAAAACAGCACGGTAACTTTACTGCATGAGGAACTGAGTGTACAGAGGACCTGTTCCACCACAGAAGGCGGTCTGTGTAGTTTTTGGGGTCTTTTTCATCTTAAGCTTTGCAACAGAACTATGTAAAAACTTTTATCTACTCCTACATATTTATGCTCTTTATATATGATGAGAGTAGAAATTAAACAGGTAATGCTAACTTCCTATTGTAGTAATACTGTGTTTTTTTACATAAATGTTTAAATAGGAAAACAATATGCATTATTTTCAGTGTTTTCTTAATAGACTAGTTCTTGTCTTGAAAAATACTTATTTATTTCCTTCTTGCCTTAAATAGTATTTTATAAAACAAGACTGGCAGACAAATAAAAATCCTGTGTTACGATATTAAGATATTAAAATGTGTGTATTTGACATTTGAGAATTAGTTTGGTTAAGGCAGTGGTTCTCAACCTGTGGGTCGGGACCCCATTTGGGGTCGAACGACCATTTCACGGGGGTCGTCAAACAAAGCAGTCCGCCATTTTTTCCCCTTTTCCTTAGCTGTGCTACTCCCTTTTATTCTATTGGCTTTTGAAAGCCAATAGAATAGACTCTCTTGAATAGAGTCTAATTCTATTGGCTTTCAAAAGCCAATAGGAATTGTCCAGGCTGTCTCTGCCCTGCTGAGCCCACCAAAAGTCCCATTCTGCAAATGGTGCTGCACCAGTTGAGTAGTCCTCGACTTACGACTGGTTGAGTAGTCCTCGACTTACGACCGGTTGAGGTCGCGGCATTAAAAAGGTTGAGAACCACTGGGTTAAGGTATCAGGCTATAAAACAAGGCTATAAAACCAGGAAAACATGAGTTGCTTTAGGCATGAAGCTTGGTAACTTGGGGCCAGTCACCTTTTTAAAGTCTCCAATAAAAGACAATGGTGCACCATTTCCAAAATATTGCCAAGAAAACGGCATGGATTTATTCATGCAATCACCAGAAGTCAAGGCACAAAATATCATACTGACATTTAAACAAATGCTAGCTGGAATGATAACTGTATTTTATAGTGGGAATGTATTGACAGGGTAATGTTATTCCTTCACCAGATGTAATGATATTGGAACAACAGGCAGTTTTTTAAAAAAGAACTTTCAGTAAATACCATTGGATATTATGTAAATTCAATAGATTTATCAATGACTATTAATATCAAGTCATAGACCCCTTATGTTCAGAAATAGTATACCTGCAGCATTCAGATGCTGGGATAAAAGGAGTGATCAAAGTGCTTCTGTAATAACTTGGAGCACTTGGTTGATAGTGATTATGGTGCTAGGTTTTATAATTAGATCCAACATTGGCTTTAATAATACAGATAGTGTTCGACTTACCACCATAATTGAGCCCAAAAATTCTGTTGCTATGTGAGACATTTGTTAAGTGAATTTTGCTCCATTTTACGACCTTTCTTGCCACATTTATTAAGCAAATCACTGCAATTATTAAATTAGTAACATGGTTCTTAAGTGTATTTGGCTTCCCCATTAACTTTGCTTGTCAGAAAGTTGCAAAAGGTGATCACATGACCCTGGGACCATCATAAATATGAATCAGTTGCCAAGCACTTGAATTTTGATCATGTGACCATGATGCTACAGTTGTGTGAAAAATTGTCACAAGTCACTTGTCAGTGCCATTGTAACTTCGAACGTCACTAAATAAACTTGAAAATCAAGGACTACTTCTAGTTAGTGAATGCTTAGCTGTTGTTGCAGATTAAACAAATTTATTCTTTTGTGTCTTTTACACAGAGACACATATAACCACACCAACACTTGCAAAGCAAATTAGGAATAGGGAATAACTTTATTTTAGCTTTATAAACATATTCTAATGATTAATTCTGTAGTGCCAAATTAATGAGCCATTAAATTTATTTGTTAGCATCTTAACCTATTTCATAGAGAATTATTAATGGTGATCACTGTACTGGAAATATCCCATAAATAGCAGTTAGTACCTGTATGGTTATAGATTTATGAGGCAATACCAAATGTAAAAATTATAGTGGAAGTTTAGTATCCTCCAGAAATGCATAGAATGATAGTGCTAATTAAGAATAATGTTGATTTTTTTTTTTTGAGGAAAATAGTGTGGAAACTTTTATGTAAATTAAGGCACTATATACAAAGAAATTTACATATTAATATTTCTAGGTTGACTAGGAAATTTTCAGATTGATAACATTATTTTCTTTTACATATTTACCAAAGATAATTGTTTAACAATGTTAATCCATTCAGCTTGCATTTGCAATTTGCAGCTTATTATTGACAATTAATTTACAGAACAGAAAATTATTTGTAGAAAGAATTAAACACAATAAAATGTTCTGCCTGACGTTTTTTTAAAATATAGCCTTTCTTAAACTAAATAATCTTCTAATTACCTTTTTTGTATGTATTACTTTAGCCCTGTGTCATTTGTTGCTGTTTTTCTTTTTTAGCAAAGAATTACTGGCAAGCAGGGAGATTTAATAGTGCCTATTAACTGGTCAATGGCAAGCCCTTTATAAGCTTTCTGATTTGTAGTGTAACTCATAAGAAAGCAATGCATCCTTCCATTTTTAGGGGGTTACAGTGAAGACCAATTAACATACTTTGTTTTGCATTCTGAGAAGGTTGATTTTAGAGAGCTGTATGTGTGTACAAACAGGAATAACTTCTTTCAAATAATTGGAAGCATTTTCTACATATCTTATTTTTATTTATTGAAATTTATTAGCTTTCTTTATATGCTGTTTTTTGCACAGAGCATCCTTCTGTCACTTAATAATTTACTAAAATGGTTTAATTTGGATTAAAATTAATAATTGTATAACCATACAATTAATCATAAAATACATAAATACATACAATACAATAAATTGTATGATTAATTGAATTATCATACATGGTGAAAAACAGCTGATATGTAGAATCTTTTAAAGTCTTTGGTGGTATGAATGACCATCTTTATAGATCTAGTTTTTTTTTCAGATATTTCTTTCTTCCTATTCATTTAAGTGATATACTCCATGGCTTTGAATAGGGCATAAAAAGTAGGATGATGCAAATTATGAATTACCAAGATTATCCAAGGTAATAAGTTCCTTGCAATGGTAGTGGGTCATTTTTTTTCTCTCAGAAGGTTAGAAAAAGATTGTTGTGCTCAACAACAGCAGAAATGGCCTAAAAACCTGTGATCTGAGTTTGGGAGCATAGGATTTCTTTTTTCTTTGTCTCCCTCTACTATCGAAATAAATGTATGAAGATGGAAAATTTCTCCATTCATTTGTATAAGGCAAAATAGTGCCAACAGATACTGTGTTCATGTTCTCAATCATAGATAATATTTGTATGCTTAGATCTCTTTGTATTTAAATTGCTATTTTAATCAGTTATACGTATTTTTATACTACTGGACTTGAAAACCAGATATATATTTGCAATGGTTTTCCTATAAGATGATAATTGCAATATTGTTGTAAAATTTCACATTTGAACATTGATGAAGGTTAATTCAAGAACTACTTATTGATGTTTATCTTTCTGATAGTCAAAACATTGCACGTTGATATGAGACATAGATAATTTCTGGAAAGAATCTGCATTAAAATATTATGTAGTTGTTGACAAGTGTTGGGCTTCAGGTTTTAGTGACCATGATCTAGAGAACAGATTTCCTAACATTATGCCAACAACTGTGGCTGGCATCTTCAGAAAAATAAAACCTTTTACCCTTATTAGTTTTGAATCATGGACTTAGTAAAGAGAAGTCTGGTTCAAATATTCATGCTAAAAGAAGTATACTATGAGAATTTAGTGTCCACCCAGATGTCCCTCTGCCCTGCATTAAGGGATTTCATGCTCAGAAAGGGAGTGTCAACCCTTTTTTGAGGCTAAAAGGAAAAAAAAAATCTTTAAATGTAATCTTGTTGTGAGAATTGTAAACATTCACTTTAGGTGTGTGTATTTATGAGTATTCATTATGGCATTAAATGTGGATAAGTTTTTATAAACTAGGTTGAGACAAAGTGTTAGTATACTATTCTGTATTCTGTATCATTTTTATTTATTACGTTGTTTCTCATTTTATTATCTTTTTTTTGTAGAAGATGTATGAAGCATCCAAAGATCATAATTGCTGGAAAGTTTATTGACTGCTATTTCCTGAAAGTCCTGAAATTTAACATTAATCTGGCATGGCTCAGGGAAGCCAGCAGTTAGATATGCAGGTACTCCATGACCTCCGGCAACGTTTTCCTGAGATTCCTGAAAGTGTGGTGTCTCAATGCATGCTCCAGGTAGGTGTTGGTTGAACCAACATTAGTTTCTCTTCGTAGATAAGGGTAACCTAACAAGATCCAAGGATAACTTTTCAGGAACAAAAAGAATATGGAAAAAACTGGGACAGTGGATTATAGGAGATGAGAATAAGAACGAATATAGTCAAAGTTGGTTATTTTAGCCAATTTTCATTAATCTTGTTATATTTTTAGAAAACAGTTTCCTTCTTCTCCCTTTCTTTTTTTTCTTTTACAAATAATTCTATTAGGCTCAATTTAATTAAAAATAAAAGTATAACTAAATAGCATGGGCATACCTAGAAATTTATATCCTACCAAAATCAGTGCGGATAAATTCATTCTTAAGTTCTAAATCTTCAAGATTGATAGAAGCACCTTGATACGTTCAGCTTTTGTTCTTGAAAGTATTTTCCATCCTATATTTTCTTCCTATACAATTTATTTTCTTCCATTGCACTATTAGTTTTATTTACATTTATGAAATGGAATACTGTGTGCAGAATACAAAATTCCCAGTGGGAAAATAATTATTCTGTTAGAAAACTCAAGCCTTAATTATTTCAGTTTCCACGTACATCTCCCATACCTGTTTTCCTATTTATCCCAAGCTGCAGTAGAAGGAGTAGGTAACATTCTAGTTCATTCATTGAATAACACAAATTATATATTCTGGTTTTGGGGAAGCTTTTTAGCTAACAAGGTTTGGAGAAGTAACACTTGTTTTACAAGACTTTTAAGAAGAATTAATGAGGTATTTTGTAACTGCATATATTTCAAAGCTGTAAGAAAGTTTATCTTGGTGATTGACAAATAATGCTTGTAATGTTTGTGGAAGACCTCTTACATCTTGGAAGATTTATTTATATATGACTCTACCTAAGCAAATTTAAGTTAATCAAAATTACAAGTTTAAGTTATAACTTAAAGTAATAACCTTAACAAATATAAATACTGAAGAGTAAGACAGATTGTTGTACTATAGTTTCTAAAACTTGCTCCATAATGTAGAACAACAGCATGTATTATTTCTTCTAGAACAACAACAATCTTGATGCTTGTTGTCGAATTCTTGCACAAGAGAGCAACAAATACCTATATATGGAGTATCACAGCCCAGATGACACCCGAGTGAACAGGAATCGTCTATTGCATATTAACCTTGGCATCCATCCTCATACTAACTATGGAGGAGATGGACCTCAACTTAATGGTGGTCGTACCCTGGTACATAGTTCAAGTGATGGACATATTGATCCACAGTGCACTCCAGGCAAACAGCTGATCTGTTTAGTCCAAGAACCACATTCTGCTCCCGCTGTTGTTGCAGCTTCTCCAAACTATAATCCTTTTTTTATGAATGATCAGAATAGAAATGCAGCTACTCCTCCCCCACAGACACCTCAGCAGTCTTCTCCCATACAGCCTGGAATGAATACATCTGCTATGCAAGGTCCTCCTCCTCCTCCATATATGCATATACCTCGGTACAGCACAAATCCTATAACTGTTACAGTTTCACAAAACCTCCCTTCTGGGCAGCCTTTACCCAGAGCTTTACAAATTCTTCCTCAAATTCAAAGTACTCCTTATGGAAGTCCTGGATCACTGTATATTAGGCAGACCACTCAAGGTTCTTCAGGACGACAGACTCCTACTCAAAGTACACAGTGGCATTCATCACCACCAGGTCCAGTTCCACATTATAGTCCACATCCATTACCTGTCTATCCACACCAACAGAGCTATCAGCCTTCTCAGTATTCTCCCAAGCAGCCCCAGATTCCTCAGTCTCCTTTTCGATCACCACCTGCTTCCCAGTGCCCTTCTCCTTTTGGATCGCCTCAACATCAAGTTCAACCCAGCCAATTAGGACATCAAAGTTCCCATGTATTTATGCCTCCTAGCCCTTCAACTGTGCTACCCCATCCATATCAACAAACACCACAGTCATATCAAAAACCAAGTGGACACTCAGTATCTTATCTCCCATATGGTGGACCTACTTTATCTAAAGGCTCCATGAACAAGATAGAAATTACAGTTGAACCACCACAAAGACCTGGGACTACACTTAATAGGAGCCCTTCACCTATAAGTAATCAGCCATCCCAACGGAATCAGCACGCACTATATACACCTGCAACTCCTTCAGGTTCTCCTTCCAGAAGTATAGCAGGTCAGCCTAAACCTCCTTATAGTGTTAATCCTGTATATATAACATATACACAACCAGTTGGACCTTCAGGTATTCTTACACAGTCCCCCCGTGTAATGGTATCTCAGCCAAATCCAGCAGTTTTTAAAATTACAGTAGGTCGAGCTCCTGCTGAGAATCTTCTAAATTTAGTGGACCAAGAAGAACATTCTGCAGCACCAGAACCTATTCAGCCCATTTCAGTTGTACCAGGATCTGGAGGTGAAAGAGGAAGGCATAAATACCAGAGAAGTTCCAGCTCTGGATCAGATGACTATGCTTATACTCAAGGTAAGGTTGCTAAGCTTTTTGCTTAATTAAATTCTCAAAATGTTTCCTAAGAATCAAATAATTTGGGCTGTGGTTCATCTTAAATAGCTATGTCCCTAAATACAAATAAATCTCCGAATGTATAAGTTAATATGGATAGGTTAACAAAATCATGCCTGTGATTTTTTTTCAAGATGAAAGAAATACACTTCTTTCATTTACCACTTTGAATTCTGCAGCAGTAAAAATGGTGATAAGGTGGGCTTGCTGTGTGATATGGTGATTAAAGTAAGATAACTTAACGTAGCCTAGCATAATATAGCATAATACATTATATTGCAAAAATATTGTGTACCACTTAATAGCACATAAATGAACTAGAAATGGTACTGTCTTGTAATATGACCTAACTCAGTGTTTCCCAAACTTGACAATTTTAAGGCATGTGGACTTCAACTCCCAGAATTCCACAGCCAGCGTTGCTGGCTGTGGAATTCTGGGAGTTGAAGTCCTCATACATTAAAATTGTCAAGTTTGGGAAACACTGACCTAACTGAATGGTACCCTAAAAAATCTGACTGTATAAAACTAACATACCATTACATATTTCAGATAAAGGAAGCATAAAATAACCAGTGTAGAGGTGTTTTTTTTTAAAAAAACATCTCAGTAGAAATTATTTGTTTTAATCTTCGATACAGCTTGAGTTTTATCAGTATAAATTGCAATATTTATTTAAGTTTTTTTGTACTTATTTGAATTATTTAATATTTTGAGGGACTAGTCCAGGCAATTACCAGGAATCTACACTGACTTGAAGGAACAAAGAGAAGTATGGCTATGGAAAAGCAGTCATTAGTTCATTAAAGTAGAAGGTGGAAGAATAGGACACCTTCTGCTATATAGTAGGCTATATAAGTATAAACTGAATTGAAAAAAAAAACAGAATAAGAATATCTCACAAATGTCTGTTTTCCACTTTGTAGTGAGCTTTCTTCAATAAGTACCTTATATTTTTAGATCCCTAACTCCTTTTTTTTCCCCAAAGGGAAAAATTGAATATTCATTAATGAAGAAAATGGTTAAGATTTAGAATAAAGGTTGAACCTTTATTCTAAAACAAAAGATAAAGCAGTCAAATAAGCTGTACAATCGGTTGTTCTTATTAATTTACCTTGCTCCAGTTTCTGGTTATTGAAATTTCTTGGATTTATCCTGAGCACTGATTTTGTGATCTGGAAAGAAAGCTGTTTTTCTAAAGGACATACTGTAACATTTCTTTAATAGGTGGTACTTATCAGTCAAGAGTATTTCAGACTACATTGTAGTTCAGCGACTAAGGTTTATTCATATACATCTAGTTCTTCATTAGTGAAAGGCTAATGAACAAAAATGAGCCAGATCCCTGAACTGATAATATAGGTGGCCCTTGGTTAACAAACATTCTTTCAGCACTCAAACTTATGGTGGTTCTGAACAGACAGTACTTATGACAAGTCCTCCAAGTTCATGCTGTTGCCACGCTCCTGCGCTCATATGGTTGTGAGGTGAGTGCTTGGCAACCAGACACATTTCTGACCATTGCAACATCCTTCAATCATGTGATTGTGGTCTGCAATCTTCCTTTATGGCTTTCCACAAGCAAAGTCAATGAGGAAGCTATCAAGAAGTCTGAATTCACAGTCAGGGAAAGCCCTCACCTAATGACCCACAGTGATTTGTTTAACTGGGGACTTTTGGAACTGCTATCACTAAGCAGTACAGTCATGTGATGTCACACTTTACAACAGCATTACTTATTGATCAAAATTCAGATCCCAGTTAGCATTGTTAAGTGATTATCTTCATGAGTATGTGAAATAATGAACTTCCTTATGGAGGAATATTATGTCTACAGTTCTTGTTCCTTTCTCATGAAGTATTTGTACCTCAGCATTTGATTGCATGTTTATGTTTGCTTCTGTTTTGAAAAGGTCATTTGTACTGTAGTTACAAGCTGGATTTCTCAATTTTATGCATATTATTCTCTGTAACACATTAGCTTTGCTGTTACATCAACGTGCAAGGATGGAGAGGTTAGCAAAGGAGCTGAACTTTGAGAATGAAGAACTTGAGAAACTTAAAGGTGAAGTAAATAATATGGAACATAATCTTATGCAAAGACGTCTGAGAAGAGTCAGCTGTACAACCTCAATCCCAACAGTAAGCAATTTTTCTATAATTATATTAAAATAAAATTGTTCTTTACTGACAGTATGAATAATTCACTATATTTTAAATTCATCATTTTTCATCCAATATGTAAGTCTCAGTTGAATTGTTTCAGCAGCTAGGTACAATCTGTTCTCTTAGTTGCCTCATAAGCTTTACCACCTCTTCCAAATTCTGTAATACTGTCTCAGGTGTTTGTTGTTGGTTTGGAGTTGTTCTGAAAAGGCATGTCAGCAGTATGTTGTTGCTTCAGGTAAAAGTAGGAAACCCTCATTACAAACAATATTCTAAAACTTAAGGCATCGTAATTGTTGTGATCTTTGGCAAGGCATTGATTGAGAATCAGTGTTTTCTTGGTCTTGTCTTTCAAAATTATATGCTTGCATGTTCTAGTGTCTTAGTTCTATAATACTTTTATATTTCTTAAATTCCTTCTCTATCCTAAAATAATACCTTGAGTTGAAGTTCCGATAGAAGATTATTATTTGCCCCAAAAGGGAACGTGGTGGCATAGAGGCTTAATGACGCTGGATGAGCTGAACAATTGCCAGCATTCCAGCAGTTCGAGTCCAGCTCCGCAGAACATGGTGAGCTCCATAGTACCTGCCTTTGACCCCCAGTGGCCTATATATGACCTCTTCCAACCTGCCCATGTTCCAGGGAGCCTGCCACCAACAACCTGTTTACACCACCCACCACCCACAACCCAGGCTGGCCTACCTGCTCACGTGAGCTTGGAGTTGTACCACATTACTTAACAATGGAAACTCAAGACCCAATTGGCATTGTAATCAGAGGACTGCCTATAGGTATTAATAAGAATGCATACATTTTAACATATAAATCAGTAGACAAAATATTGAAAACAATCATTTTCAGTTTGATAAGGAGACTATTAATTAATCTGCCCTGTTCCAGTTCGTGGCTCTTGGAATTCTTTGCTTCTACATTGAACATTGATTTTTTTTGATATGGACACAAAAGCTATCTTTCTAAAGGACATACATTCTCTTATTAGGTGATATTATCAGTAAGGAGGAACTGTAGACTATACTTTTAATTTGCATCTTTTTTATAATTTATGAATGCACCTCTGATAAAGGAAAAGGATGGAGAGATGGGGAGAATTTAAAAGAATTGTGAATAGGCTTCTGGTTGGCTGCATTTATGTGTTTAGTTTAGTTAAATGAATGTGCCAGCTTACTTACTTTCTATTCTTGATTCTCTCTGCTAGCCCGAGGAGATGACAAGATTGAGAAGCATGAATAGGCAGCTCCAGATAAATGTAGACTGTACTCAGAAAGAAATTGACCTCCTTCAGTCTAGAGGTAGATGTTTTCAATGATTTTCTGTATCTGAAATGCATTGATTTGGAGCTTTATGTAAGAATTTAAGAGGTATTGTGAATATTATTGTCTTTCCCTATTATAGTTGTAGAAAGAAAGATAACCAGATCTATTTTCTTTTTACTAGATGTGTTATTTTGATACTTTAGTTAAAATGTATTTGGGAATACTGATTCTGGCAATATCATTTAAGGGACAAAATTGGCAAGCATTCTTTATCGTATATGGTCAGTTTCCAGAATAGCAAGGCTGTATGACTTTAAGACACTGTTTGCTTCATTTCAGTATTGTTTCAGATCAAAAGCACACTTAACCAGTAACTTCTTTTACCTTTTAAACATATGTCCTGTTCAAAATACATTATTTTCTCCTTTTTATTTATAGGCAACTTTGACCTGAAAGCCATGAATAATTTTTATGATAACATAGAGCCTGGTCCTGTTGTACCACCAAAGCCATGTAAAAAAGGTGAGTCACTACACAAATGTTCAGGATGTAGTTTCTTTGTGGTATTTTTTTGCAGAGGGATATATTAGAAGGAAGGAAATCAAATGTATATGTTTCTTATAGACAAGAATTTTTATAAAGAAAGGCATTATGTCAAGAAATATATGATGCTTTCCATTATTTATATCCCACAGAAGCTTCACACAAAATAACACTTCACCAATTACCTTATGAATTTGCGAAAGTAATGTTGGCAGTTAGAATGTTCTCTTGGATTCTCTTTTATCTAGCTTTAGGACTTGTGTGGAGAACAGAACAGCAGAGCAGGACTGTTGGCAATGTGAGAACCTAGGTGATTGGTTCTGTTATTTATTTATTCAAATTTATTGGCCACCCAAATCTAATGGATTCTGGGCAGCGTACAAAATTAGAAAAAATATAAAAAAACAACTGATAACATTAAATCAGATAGACAGCCCTGTATAAATAATCCGATAAACAATAAAATAAAACAGGGACCTTAACAAATAATAAACATCAAATCCAGACCTGGGACCAAAGCTGGGTTTTCAAATCTTTGCTGAATCCTAGGAGAGAATGTCATCCTTACCTCTGGGATGATGCTGTGAAGAGGATGGTGATCACAACAGAGAAGGCACACTTCCTATGTCCCACAAGATGACAGCAGTTAATAGAAGGAACCTAGAGTGCACCCACTTTGCTGAAATGTACTGGGCAGACAGAAATGATGACAGACAAGCAGGCTCTTAGTTATCCAGATGCTACAATTCTGGCATTAAGCCCTATGCCATATATGGCTTTATAGGTCCTCTATCTCATGCATCACATTTCTCTCATTATTTTTGAGTAGAATTTATAGAAATAGTAATTTACTGAATTATAAATATTGTAGCCATGTGGCCATATTGTACAACCTATTTGGAGAGAAAAATAATACAGTTTAAAATATATTAAATATAATTGCTATAAGTCAGTTTGCTGATTATGTTCAAATGAATGGAGACTGCACATTATATATAATTTAAAGTAATTATGCATATATAAATGTTGAATAGTTCACCCTTCTGCAGAAGATACATGATTTCCAAGCATTATTTTGTGTAGCATTTTCAAAATCTTTAATTAATTAGGGGAAAATATAGTAAATACTTTGTTAGAATGTAAAATAAAATTTTAAATCAAAATTGGCCTAAAGACATGGTAATTAATATAATTCATTAACATGTCAGAGTAATGTTCTGGATCATTCTTGATAGGTAAATAACTATGCTTCCAATAGTTATTACGTGGCTAAAGTAAGAATGTTTCATACCCACATTAATAAATTGTTCAAATGCAACACATTATTTCTTAGACATCATTCTAGTATGGGATGTTAAAATACATCTTAGTAATGATTTTGAAATTCAGTCTGGTAGATCTCATACTATCTACCTCAAATGACAAAACTTGGCAGAAAAGAATACATATAACTCACATAACTTACTATATTTTTACTGGAGACCAAAACACGTGGACAACAGATTTTATTTTCAAATATTACACTTGGTATGTACTTATAGTATTGGAGACCCAGATTCTAGTTCACGTTCTGGTATAGAAAATTCAGACCAATCAATCTCTCTCAAATCAACAACAATTACTGTAGTGAAAACAAACAGGCCTTACAGTGTGCTTATACGTGAAGGCCAAATGAAATAGTAATACTAATGTTATTATTGGCCTATGATATTTATAGATTTAAAATTATTATGTTTTATAAGAAAAATGATTCTTTGTAGACCATCAAAATAGTTCCAAGCAAGTTCTGCGATCACAGCCAAGAGATGAGGACTTTGAAGGAGCTCCATGGAATTGTGACAGCTGTACTTTCTTGAATCACCCAGCACTGAATCGTTGTGAGCAATGTGAAATGCCGCGGTATGCCTGAATTTATAAAGGTCTACTTTGTATTAAAACGGGCTTTGAGATCTCAGCCATAGATGAAAATTTGGAGGAATCTTTCAGTTCTCTACCAGGTATTTGCCAGCCAGTCATTTTCAATTTTTGAGAGAAAAATCTCCTTTTCATTCATGCTGCACTAAAGATTAGCTTGTGGAGATGTTCTCTTATCCCATGGTGGTAAGAAAGTGTGAAAGGATATTCCAGAATGGATTTTCTTTGAAGAATGTATGCAGGAAAACAAGTGATTGCTGTTGTTCTAGCCCCCATAATTACATTTGCTGGTTAGTAGTCCTTACATATATTTTTATAAGCATTGAACAATTACTTTGTGAAGTGTTACAGGTATGCAGACAAACTGTGAAGAACCAGAGCTGATCTGGCTACAGCAAGCTGGAAAACAAGAACTCCCTATGTTTCCAGATTGTAAACTACTGAAAAAAGGGGGAATCAAAGAACAGAAAAGGGTAATCTGAAATGCTGCTTTTTTCAGGGTAAATTAAATCTACACAATTGCTGTTTTGATATTGTGAATCATGGTGAGAAGGGGAAGTACTGTACAACTTTATTTATAGAGTACAATCAGAAGTGATTTTACAGTCCCTTTTGCTTGTACAGCGCTCACCAAGTCATGCTAACACTGGTAATTAAATAATTATACCATATTACACAGGAAAAATAGTGCTGCATGCTTTTATTAGACCTTTGTGTTTTAAAAAGTAAAAGTATGCTTTTATAAATTATGTTCCCTTGAAACTGCTTGACAGTGGAGCGGACATATACCAAATGCAGAACTATTCCAAATTCTTTTTGGAAAACTTGAGTTCAGCCATTGATAGTATAAGAAATGTTTGCACCCTCTTTCTTAGGCCTTTCACCTTCCACTTATGTGAAGAATTCATAATGTTTACAGCACAGAAGGTACTTTGTGTCCCCATTCTGATTTAGCTGAAAACTACTAATCAATATAAGCTCTCCAATAAAGTTTATTTGCACATTGTCAGTAAACTAGCTTGTATTAATTAGTATGAGTGATGGTTCTTTAAATGTTGCACATTGCATTTTGGTGTGATCCTTGGTCAGTTAAAGGGTATAGAGAATCCAGAAATGGTATAGAGAATCCAGAAATTGAATTGTACTAGTACCTGTATGAATATGCTAATCATGAATAGGATATTTTATTTGTGAGTGCTTCAGGATACTGAAATAAAACAGTCTTCTGAATTTGAAGTTGAGTTAAAAATAAAATTGTTTATGAATAATCAGAATTCCTTTTTCACACCGATAAATCACCAAGGACAGTAAATTTTATTACACCGATAAATCACCAAGGACAGTAACATTCATGTTACTCTGGATTTTGCAGGATTGCAAAATGGAGAATCATATTTTACTTGTGCATATCTTGTTCTTATCTATTAGTATTACATGTGATACAGTTTCTGTTGAAATTGGAATGTATTGAATGCAATGGATGTTAGTCCATTAAATTCTTACAGAAGCTATATGGAATCCAGCTTGATTCAATCAGTCAATCAAGTAGAACAATTACATTAACACTCGTGTTAAGGTTTTTTTTTTAGTTGACTTTTACACTATAACAAATATGACTCTGAGAGGTTAAAAGGGAACTTGTAAGAATTCTGTGTCCCTCTTTAAGAATAAAATTACAAAATTCTTTTCTTTCACCTAGAGAAAAAATTAAGGTGTGAAGGTGAAAAGACTCATGTAAAGTATTCTTTTTATAAGTTATCTATTGAATCACATTTAGATTGTTCCTTAGTATTGGTCATACTTCATGAACTTTTTAAAACAATCTTAGTCAATACTTAGTCAACTGCTACTATAGGGAAGGAAATTGTACTAAGTTCAGAACATAAATAGTATGTTTGAAGGTATACACGATTTTAGTTGGCAAGGAGATACTTACAGAAAGTTAGGCTGAGTTTATCTTAAGGGAATTTTTTTCTGGAATTGGGAAGCACAATCAAAATTTCTATAGAGTTTTGATAAATGAAGACACTTAAAGGAACTTAAGGTTTCCCTATTTTATGTCATGAGCAGGGAGTTTTTTGGACATGCTATGCTGTGTGAATTCAGTACATTTGCATAATGCCCAGGCTAGATTGTGGAATTAATATAAATGTTTAGTGATTTACTCATACTTTCACTATTCGAAGTGGAAGTCAGAGCAGAGTTTATAGTGGGGAAGATGATAACTAGTAGTCAAGTCAAAATGAAACAAAATGTAATGTTGTAATTTCAGTGTGCAAAAGAATCCTTTTACCTGTTTACTTGTAAATGTCCTTTCACACCGTAATATGAATTGTAGCAATGAAATTAATTTTAATATGTAAGTATTTCATGTGAATCTATTCATGTCTACATGGAAAATACTCAGAAATAAGTGAATTCAATCAAAATGGATTTAGGTTATGCCAAAATAATTGCTGATTGCCTAAAAGGTTTCATTAATGTCTGGATTCCTTATATTATTTAATATACAAAATGCACTGCAATGCATACAAATTCAGAATGTGCGCCTCTGAGTGGTGGGATTCTGAGGCCATCATGAATTTTTAAAATGCACTACTTTTTAATAATAGCTGATCTGCCCTTGCCCACGGGCCTTGGATGAATCTGTTTACTAGAAAATCCAAGGATACCTTCTAATTCTCCAAAACCTTTTCTTTATACATGCCTTTTTTGTATTTAATGTTATTAAAATGTATCCTTTCACATGTACAAAGCTCTCTCAATTTTAGTTGATAGAATAGCTTATAGCAAGCCAAAATTAAATCCTGTACTTGATTATTTGATGAAACTATCAAGCTAGCATGTTTGTGTAGGAAGAGAGGGCTAAGAAGAAAAGAGACACTGTTTTGTAAAATCTGATGGAGATGTGTGTTTCTCTGTGATATGTATGTATTTTTCCTTACGGCAGATGTGTGAAGCAAATATAATTTTTAAAGAGCTGGTCTCGGTCATATTATTAAGTCATGTTTTCTCTCAGTTATTGTATTCTTCAGTTATGTACACTTCTTATTTCCCATCCTTTTTGATTGTAATTTTTTTTAAAATCTCTCAGATTTTGCAGACTTGGAAATTAGGACAAAATATTTTAATTTTTTTAAAGAATACATGAAAAAATTAAATATTTGGTTATGACTTTGTAATTTACAAGCTTCTAACTTGAGAAACCGTATAGTGTGGTTTAAATGTGAAATAAGTTCACAATATAGCATGGAATAGCAAGAGCTGTCAGTCAACTGAAGATTGAAAACATGCACAGAAATAAATGCTTATTATAGTTAATATTGTGTCCATGTGTTATATTTGTTTTTACAAATAACCTTTAAAACTTATCACCTGTGCAAGAAAACTAAATCCTTAATTAGTAGGTTAGTTGAATTAATACAGTAGCTTAATCTTTTTTTAATTTTTTTAAAAATATTTTCTTTAAAGCCTGTACATCTCACCTATATCTTTTGCTCTGTTGAAATCCTGTTAACTTTGTTCACTATAAAACAAAACCAAGCTCTTTCTAAATTGTAAATAGGGTGTTTTCCTACCATATGGATTTGTGTATGCTGTGAATGAAAACTATTATTGCAAGATAAAATGTATAAGACATTAAGAGGCTGTGCATGCATGATTTCCCAGATAACATATACTGAGCGCTACAGTTGCCTAAACCCAATAAACTAAGAAAATGTAACATTTTGCTTTTGGTTTTATATATAGCAAGACTTAGTTTCTTTTAAATCTTTCATCTTAAAATATAGTATCCTTACAGGTGTATTGCATGTTCTTTTCAAGTATAGATCCTTTTCTTTGATCTCTTTATTGAAATTATTGTCAGCCTTTCTTGCATGTTAAGCCACAAATAGTGGCGTTGTGCAATGGAAAATTAGAATTTTTTGCTTTATTGTCTTCATCTTTTATACATTTCATCATACCTGCTTTGGTTTTTAGATGTCCAAAAGATACCTATCTATTTTTTTTTAATTCTTTCAGTAAGAATTTATATCGTTAGACAAAGGACAGTTTGCTTTTATGTAGCCACTTAAACAGTTATGGAACTTCATTCAGCCAAGACAATCCATTCAATATCGCTTTAAAAGTTTAGGTGATTTTAAGGGGATTTAATGGAATCACTTTAATTTAACAAATGATTAAGCCTCGTTGCCAACATGTCCCCCTTCCTCCTGCCTGCAGATAGGAAGCCACTATTTACACAAAGAAAAAGTATTTTATAGAAGACAGGAACAGATAAACTGGAATGAATCATCTCACACATTCCTAATGATAGTCCTAGCCATTCAGCTGGTTTTTCTTTATAGAAATAAGCAGGATCCGTAGTAGTGATTTAACCAGATTCAGTGAAAATGCTGGATATCCCTTGAAGCTGTATAGAATGGATTATAGTGATCTCCTTACTGATTTAAAATGTTTGCACTATACTCTGTATTTCAGCTATGAATATAATTTATTCCAGTAGTAGTTGGGTTCCTAGTGGTGGTTTCCTCTTAAGGGAATCTATAATTAATTCATTAATTAAGAATGAATTAAATGATCCTTGCTGCTCTTTCTAATGCTTTGTGTCCAACATATATGAATTCCCTTAAACATGGTTCCTTCTTTAAAAACAATTGAAGCCTAAGTAACTAACATGTATACCGTAAAATATCTCATCCAGTGTTTAAACAGGTATTTTTGATATTGAAGTAACTTTTTTAAAGTTGTCTGCCGCTTGTGATTTTATGTCATGTCATTATAGTGTTTGCGAACTAAGATATCATATTTTGGTCACTATACGACTTACCTTACAATATATACATACCGTCCTGTTTAGATCAGCTTCAGAAAAGCAAAGTTACTCTAAGTGTATACAGTGCTAAATTTTCTTGATTTCTTACATATTTTTATTCAGGTATTCAGCTTACATGAACTATTTTGTTTTACGTGTGAATTTTATTTATATATTCCCTTAGCTTCTTTTAAATGTAGGATATATCCAGTGCCTCTCCATACACAATTTGCTATCATGGACTCCTTGGACATTTTTTTATGCATGGGGTATAGTCCAAATTCAATTTTCCTGCCTATGATCTACTAAGGTAAAACATTTTCTGCAGTTCTGCATTTTTTCACTTATGGTAGAGTGCCCAAATCACAACAGCTACAACTAGGTCATTAACATAAATGCAACTAAGAAACATTGGAATGAATGTAATAGCTTTATTTTACACAGCTGACAGTTCTAAAAATGCTTAAATTTAGCTTAATAAAAATAATATAATGTTGGCTGATTTCTGAACAGAATTTACAGACTCCTTCTGCTCTTCTCCCCGCCTTTCCCCTGATTGCTCTATTGTTGAGTTTCATTTTTCATTTAGGATACCCTGGGATTTCTGGTTGGGTGCTCAAAGGTACCTTTTCTTCTTTCCCATCATAGTGACTAAAATGTGCCCATAGAGTTCCACTTGAGGGAAAGTATATGCTGTAAGATATCTGCATCTATGAAATAGTGAAGAAAGTGAGGTAATTGCTCCAATACTGATGTGAAAATATAAAAAAGTGAAAGACTTGAAGAATAGGTTAGATCCTGTGACTACCTAAATTCCAAGTGTCAAGCAGTGGCCAAGTGTCAAACAATTGGTTCGTTGAGGATCTAGAGACAATAAAACCCGCCAGTATGTAAGGTGATTTTAAACTTTATTAACATATTTAACATGTGAATAGAAATATAAAAGCATTATGTACAAAACAAGATGCTCTCCCTTTAGATGTTGGGAGCCCCAATAACAACAGTGGAGACCTCAAAATGACCAGAGTGTACAGTAGTGAGCTGTCAAGCCAAAGCTCAAGGCTCAATACTACGGCTTTTATTACGACCTGGCACCAAACTAAATAGTGTTGTTTCCATGGTGATGAGACTGTAGGACCTGATCTTGATTGGATGGAGTGAAAGTTCTGAGAAGTTACACAAATAAAGCTGTATACAGATAAATAATCTTGAGATTTTTCTACAGCTGTATGAAGATTTCCTCTCACCTTTTTCTTTATTTAAGTTAGAGTGAAAACAAGCAAGTTAACACAGAATGAACTCTACTTCTAGAATTTTATTAATATGAAGAAAAATCAAAATATGTCACTAAACTATGACCTTCTGCAGTTCCCCTATACATTCAGTGTAGTGAACCCAAATCCAAAATTTCATTTGAGACTCGCTTCTCTAGATTCAAGTTGTTACCTTTCTAAAAAAAAAAAAAGCTTTCCTCCAATTATCAAAAGAAAAGCAAAAATAGCCAATAGATGCTTAAGTTAAGCAAAGCTGCTTAACTCTTGGAAAAAAATTAGCCACCTTACAAAATAGAATAGAATATCTTTATTGTCATTGTATATCTCACAACAAAATTTAGTGCTGTCCACAGCACTTAAACATGGATTTTGAGAGCTTTACCTATGGTTTTTGAATGAGGTCTAAACACTCTTCCAGTGGGGGGTTGCCTTGCATCTGATGATAAGATGATTAGCCTGTTTCAGAATGCATTCTTCATTTACTTCAAGCAATAAGAAAACAATTGGCTTTGTTTACATCCTACATAGGCTGAAAGACTACTTTCAGCAACGATTCACAATCTAGTCCCTTTTGTATGGTGGATTACAGTTCCCATCATTTCCACCTAAGAGGACATGGCTGATATTTTAATAACTGGCCAAGATTTGTCTAAATCTGTCAGTAACAAATACCTTCAGGCCAACACAGGGTTTATACAGCATCTCTGCATTAGCACTTTGTGCCATCACACAGCCATCATTGGTGATTAGATCACTGATATCAATTAAAAATAAGTAAGGTGCACACTAGCTTGATGCTACAAAATCAGATCCAATGCTCAGTGTGTACATTTACTTATTTTTAAGTCAATTTATTTATATTTGATTGATTCCCTTTTGTTCTGAAGGACAAGCTAGATATTTTCATAAGTAATACTGAAGTTAGCCAAGAATCTGATCTGCTAATGACCTAATTGCTGCATGTGTGGTGACTTCATTTTCTTCATATTAGCCCAGAGGTGTCAAACTCGCAACATCACGTGACGTGTCATAACATATCGCGACTTTTTTGCCATTGCTGGCAATGGGATGGGCGCGGTTTTGGCATGACGCATCAGGTTCACAGTTGGACACCCCTGTATTAGCCTCTCATCTACCTGTGGTCATTAAATAGCTCTTTGTCCTAAGACAACAGATAAAAGCTGTGGATCAGCAGGGCAGAAATCTTACTACCGTAAATGCCGGCGTATAAGACAACTTCTGCGAGCACTGAAATCGGTGCCAAAGACGGGGGTCGTCTTATACGCCGAGTCGTCTTATACGCCGGAAATACTGGTAGTTTCTGGCGTATAAGACGTTCTAGGAATGCGGCCCGGCTATAAAGACGGGGGTCGTCTTATACGCCAGGTCGCCTAATACGCCGGCATATACGGTACTTTTACTTTCCTGAAAAAGGAATACACAATAATTTCCCAGGAAATTAGTGTACAGTAACTTGTGGCTTTCTATTATGGATATTGCATATAAATACCATAATCACAGATTACATTTATAGCATAGTTGTTTCCTTGTTTATTAAAAAAACTTTTATTTGGTAGTATCAGAAAATATATTAGCTATAATTAAATGTAATTATCTCATCTTAAAATAGCACTTAGACTTGTGTACCACTCAGTGTAAATTAACTGGGAACAGTTCTATAAAAACATATTTAGTGGCTCCTAACTGTTAATGATTTGTATCCATGGCAATTACACCTTAATGTACTTTAAGATCAGTTTTTACGAGCAGGCAATAATTGAAGTTTGGGATTTAAATATACTTTGGGAAATGTTGCTGTAAATTAGAGCGGTTAATGATACATTTTATAGATAGCAATTGTATCTGGCTAGAGTACATATTTTTTCTATGATGAAATTGAAACATAGTATAATTGAGGTAGAGTAAAAGCTCTCTGATAGTTAAGTACTTCAAGTTGAGTTAAGTATGTCGGGGAGGCAGAGTACGTGTCACTGAGTTTAAGTATGCATGGCAGGGCTACAGCCTTGCTGTTCCTTTCTTCCAAAGTTGCTTTTGATTTTAATTTTTGATATAATTGTAATAAATTGAAGTTTTGCAAATAGAATCTAATACAAAATTTGGGAAAGAGGAGATACAAAACTGTTTTCAATATTTTCAGTGAAAAAAACGGAGTACAGATATTTCAGAGAGTGTTTCTGTTTCTCAAGCTTCCTTCTCTCCATCACAGTATTTCTCAACCTTGGCAACTTTAAGATGTATGGCCCTCAACTGGCTGGGGAATTCTGAGAGTTGAAGCGCATACATCTTAAAGATATCAAGGCTGGAAAGCACTACTCTAGCAGCCTGATTTTGAAAGAAACAAGAAAGCTAGTTTATTTATATTAATTTGAAATAATTGGAAGTTAAAATGCTTTATTGATCTTCTAATCAACTAAATTTAATAGCAAATCTGCAGCTTCCTTGTCTGTATTTTATGGCACTCCTTCCAGCCTATAGCAAACATTCTTCTCAGCCTTGAGCCAGCAGAAAAGTATCCTGACATAATATGCATTACCCACACAACTACTTCACTGTACTTCAGAAAGGATCTGGGAAAGGTGATGTTTTATCAAAGTAATATAATAAGAAACTTCC